TGTATCTTAAAATCTTTTATTTTTTTAAATTTCTCCACTATTCAAATTACCCGCTGTATCCTATGTATCTCTCACATATTTCAGCATTGATATATGCTTTAATTTCTCGCTATTCTGAATTATATTTTTGGCTGAATATCAGGGCGCAGAGCCCGAATTTGAAAAGGAGCTGCCTCGGAAGTCGCGTTGCGCAAGTTTCATCCTTTGGCCCATGACATTTCGAAATTTTACCATGTCACACACACACACACACACACACACACACACACACACTCCTCCAACTCCCCCATACCAAGGTACACTGCTTCTCATCGATCGACGCATCGATGGCTGCCGCCGCCTCGTCGAGATTGCAAATTAGTAAATGATTAACCGACTATAAGGCTTTTTCTCGGTGAAACCACGGCGTATCAGCTGCCTAGAGTAGTGTTATATGTGCCAATTTAAAGCCAATTCGTTGACGAGCACTGTACCTGACAATTACTTACAAGAGTCAGAGCGCCGCGAATGCGCACGGTGAAAAAAAAAGCCCGAGACGGACCGTGAAACGATGTTTCCAACCCCTCCCCCTCCCCTTCACCCCATTTCGCGGCCGGTCGAAAGTTTAAAAAGGCATTTAAAAGAGATCTGCAGAACCATCGGAAGGGATTAACGCATTAAGAAAAGAATTAAAACGTCTTTCAGCTTTGTGCGACATCATGCCAACCTCCTAAAACGGCATCGTTCGGCTTTCACGCTTCGATTCTTTTACAATGCGTTCGCACAAATGAAAAATTTAATCAACAGTAGAGATCCTTAGAGTACCTATTTCTTAGAATAACCTGTACCTTTTTCTTTTCGATACTCGTGACAACATATCAAAATTGATTGTGCCTTTTAATTCTCGAAATGCAATTCAATTTTTGAGTACAGAGTTGCCAAAGTGATACAGCGCTCATCGCTCTATTCATTATTTTCAATGATCACATTCCCTGTTTGACCGGTCCCTTGCCGAGGGGACGTCTATCGCATTTCAAGTTTGACGGTTCGCTAGAATGGAAAATTTCATATGTGGCGTGGTGCCCGTGTCAGGATGCCGGTTATAAATATCGTTTCGCCGCCGGTCTAAGGCTTTATAGGCAGTATATAGCTGTAGCGTGTAGCCGGCTTACAAGGTATTTCAAAGCTTGTTACGCGCCCCTTTCTTTGAGCCACCGCCGACGGACGTCGCTCAAGGAAGGAAGAAAAGCCGCGGGAGAAAGAGAGCTTCGCTGCAACTGACGCCGGACATACACACACGTGACACAAAGCGAGGGAGCCTCATCTCTCTCTCGCCTTATCTTACGTATACGGGATCATCGTGAACCGGTGTTGTAAACGCGTAACACGATACTTATTTTTGCTAAAGAGTAGGAAGTCACTCACACCAGTCACGATGCATCCCGATCGAGATCTAAGTCAACGATCGTCGATTTGTCCGGGACGGGATTATTATGCGATTCCGGCGAGTCGGGAGAGAAAAAACTAAGGAAAAGCCTCCGTTATAATCGGGACGATCGCGAAAGATTCGACGAGTCTTTCTGTATTATATTTTATTAATGTGAAATGATTGGATCCGTATAGTGAGTATAAAGTTGTGTTTTGATACTTAAATGATTTATTTATTAAATGATTATTGTTAGTTGTGTTTCTTTTTTTTCGTGATTATTTAATGATATTACAAATGTTATCGATGTCGCGGTTCTCGAATCGTTCTTAAGTAAAGTACTAATATAGGCAGAGTGTACTCGTACGAGTGTACACTGCTTGCCTTCAGAGAGTAGCCGATGAACGGCGCGCGAACGAACGGTCACAGAAATTCTATTATAATAAACACGTCGTGCGTAACTCCCCTTTATAGTCCTCGATGAAAATCTAGTACCTTCCGCTTTTGCTCAAAGAATTATCTATAATAAGCCAAATAAATACTACGTGCAATAGTGCGCAGGAAAGTCAAGTCGTCGGCATTTTGATATTAAGGTACGCATTGCGTTAAGAGCTTTTGTTTGAACTGTCGAGATAAAGATGCATTTTCGAGCGTTAGGCGAAATTCTAGAATGCTATTTTAGATTATTTACCTTAGGGACGTATTATTGAGAGAAATAGTTACTAAATCTATCTATGTCGGGAATTCATTGAAGTAATCTTTTCAATAAATAATCCTTTCAGTATCAGATTCAATAAAAATATTGCAACAATTGTTTTTTATTAATTTGTTCATTAATTCTACTTTCGACTTTGGCTGACTGTCAATAACGAACGTTAAATTAATAATCCGTGAATTTCTGAATATAACAGTAATTTAATAATTGCCGAATCAAAAAAAGATGATATTCAAACGAATTTCCATGGCTTAATGGATATTATCACTATTAATCTTTTAAATTTTTAATAAAATGCAATCCTGAATTATTAACAAAGTTTAATTTTTTGTACGTGACAGATAATGAAAACTGACGTGCAATATGTAGCGTATACTGAAAGGGTTAAGCAGAGGAGAACTTTGTGGCTGATTGTCTTCATTGTTTTTTTAATTGTGTTGAATAAACGCGCGTGTCGATGCTTTTCTCGAATTAGCGTAGACAGGGGCAATCCAGTCAGATTCCTCGAGCCTTCTACTCGAGTGGAGTTACACGTTTACAGGGTTCAACATTGTTTCGCAATTCAAGGGGGGGATGAGAAAAAATTTGCCGCTTCCTTCAGCAATTTTTTACGTTATCGATCCTAATCAGAGATCGCTTCGATGGAAATTCCGATTGCTGGAGTAAGGAATAATACCATAAGTCGATATATCGCATGATACGGTAAACTCTCGTTAGCTCGAGCCATCCTACGCCACAGATCCTTCTCTCTAGTCTCTAGCTACTATCCTTCACGAACTACCAGCTAGTTTCGAGTTTCTCCGAATTCGCTCTAACGAGGGTTCATTGTACAGGTACTTTGCCATTGTACGTGTCAGAATCAAGCTCGTTATCATTATCCGCGTTACTTGAATTGCGAAAATCAAGTAAAGAATCGATAAGAGATAAGTGTATACCACTGCATGTATATAAGTATATAGTATAAAACCTAATGCATATATATATGTATACACTCACGTACACACGCATGCATATAATAACACCCTCCGCGAGTAGATGAAATTTTGTGAGATCCTCGTTGTTGTTGTAGATTAGTAGATTAGCACTCATCAGTCGCTTCTTTCAGTCGATCTAGTCCCTAGATTTAGCACGGACCGCCCGTCGTAGTTAGATTGTTTTCAATAGCGGCGGATTACACCTATGGAGGCCACACACCGAGAACGCTCGCAAGCGTATGAACTATAAACTCAGATTCTACGAACGATTCTCAGGGCGAATCAACGATAAAAATCGTAATATAGAGATCTTTATCTTCTTTCGAGAGAAGAGCTCGTTCTTTCTAGCTGAGGGTTGTTTCCCTAAAACGTAGCG